CTTCAACGAAATAGGAAGCCAAGTCATCCATCGCGACACGTTGTTTGGGCCGTGCTTTACAACGCGGCACAAAAAAACACACGCAAAGCGTGCGGAATATATAATAATATATATATATTAAATATAAACCACACGACGAAATACGCATATTATAATATGTGCACACACGAAGTCAAGCCGCAATTACATTTTTCTACACAACACACTGTGTAACGTGCAAGTATATATATATATGTGTATAATATATATTATACACATATATATGCTTACACGTACAGTGTGGATGTATCAGTGCGAAGAGAAGCAGCAGCAGCAGCAGCAGCAGCAACACACACACACACACACAGTCATTTCCTCCCCCTGTCTCTCTCTAACCCCCCCCCCTCTCTTCTCCTTTCCACCACACTACTAAACAACAAATTCCACACCACACGCACAACGACACTACGACTTTCGTCCCCGCCGCCCTCCACACAGCAGCAGCAGCAGCAAAAGCAGTAGTAGCACAGTCCGTGAGAGTAGATATATATATATATTGTTTTAGTAGAAATGGTGTAGTAGTAGTAGTAGTGGTGGTGGTGGTTGAGCAGAGCAGTGCGGCGGAACAACAACGGCGTGTGTATTGTGTGTGTACACGTACATACACACCACTACTATATGAAATATAATATGTACATATGTATATATTATATTATATCCTCTCCCGCGCGGCAACAACAACAACACACACATACACAACACAGCAGTATAGTAGTATACTGTGTGTCATGCCAGAGTTTGTGTTTGTTGCCTAATTTTGTGTGTATATTATATATTATACAACAAAATATATATTAATATATACACACATGTATATATATATATATATGTAACAGAAATCATCGGAAAATGATCCAGCTGCAGGTTCACCTACAGCTACCTTGTTACGACTTTTGCTTCCTCTATTGAAGAAATATCGGTGAACTTTCGGTCAAGTGAAGCACTCGACTGTCCGATCACCTGTATTGCACCATCATCGGAAACAACGACGGGCGGTGTGTACAAATGGCAGGGACGTAATCGGCACAGTTTGATGAGCTGCGCCTACGAGACATTCCTCGTTGCGCGACCAATAATTGCAATACTCGGTCCCAAGTGGGTCTACGTGATTCCGGGGTTTTCCCACTCTTTTGATCAAGTAGGT